ACTATTATTATACCCAACTATTGTATGTGAATTGTGAGCCTACACAGGGACTTATTAAGATAGGGGTGAGGATAACGTAAGTTATCTCATCACTTTGAAATGTAGTTTTTGTCTCAATAGACGTGTTAGAGTCAATAAAGAAGTCTCCCTCCATCTCTCTATCCCTATCCCCCATCCTCTCCCTCCCTCCTTCTCTCTCCTCTCCCCCTGCCCCCCACCTTCTCCATCTCCCTCTCTCTCCCGATCCCACACCCTCTTCCTCCCTATCCCTACCCTCTCCCTCTCTCCCTATCCAGTACCCTCTTCATCTTCCATGCCCTCCCTATCCATCATCTTCTCCATCTCTCTCTCTCTCTCTCCTTATCCCCCCTTCTCCCTATCCATCTCCCTCTCCCTCCCTCTCCCTTCTCCCTCCCTCTCCCTCCACCCCCCTTCCCTCCACCCCCTTCTCCCTATCCCCTCTCCCTCCACCCCCCTTCTCCCTCCCTCTCCCTCCACAACCCTTCTCCCTCCCTCTCCCTATCCCCTCCCCTTCTCCCCCCTTCTCCCTCCCACTCCCTGAGCACAACCAATACGAAAATCCAGCTCGGAAGTCGGGAAAAGCAGGTGAGAATTCCAGCGAGACGAGACCGAGGCAAAAGTGTGTGTGTTCGTCCCGTAATGAGCTTTGTTGACCGAGCACTCCCGGTGTCCAAGCAGCGCGGAGTGGCGATTTCACGAGGAAGGTACATGGAGACCCTCTCCATCTCATAACAATGACGATATTGTTATTGCTAATGACGATGGTATTGAGAATAGTGATGATAATAATAACAATGATAATGATGATAATAATGATAACGCGGAGTGGCGATTTCACAAGGAAGGTACATGGAGACCCTCTCCATCTCATAACAATGACGATATTGTTATTGCTAATGACGATGGTATTGAGAAATAGTGATAATAATAATAACAATGATAATGATGATAATGATAACGCAGAGTGGCGATTTCACAAGGAAGGTACATGGAGACCCTCTCCATCTCATAACAATGACGATATTGTTTTGCTAATGACGATGGTATTGAGAAATAGTGATAATAATAATAACCATGATGATAATGATAACGCAGAGTGGCGATTTCACAAGGAAGGTACATGGAGACCTCTCCATCTCATAACAATGACGATATTGTTATTGCTAATGACGATGGTATTGAGAAATAGTGATAATAATAATAACAATGATGATGATAATGATAACGCAGAGTGGCGATTTCACAAGGAAGGCACATGGAGACCCTCTCCATCTCATAACAATGACGATATTGTTATTGCTAATGACGATGGTATTGAGAAATAGTGATAATAATAATAACAATGATAATGATGATAATGATAACGCAGAGTGGCGATTTCACAAGGAAGGTACATGGACCCTCTCCATCTCATAACAATGACGATATTGTTATTGCTGACGATGGTATTGAGAAATAGTGATAATAATAATAACAATGATGATGATAATGATAACGCGGAGTGGCGATTTCACAGGAAGGCACATGGAGACCCTCTCCATCTCATAACAATGACGATATTGTTATTGCTAAAGACGATGGTATTGAGAAATAGTGATAATAATAATAACAATGATAATGATGATAATGATAACGCAGAGTGGCGATTTCACAAGGAAGGTACATGGAGACCCTCTCCATCTCATAACAATGACGATATTGTTATTGCTAATGACGATGGTATTGAGAATAGTGATAATAATAATAACAATGATAATGATGATGATAATGATAACGCAGAGTGGCGATTTCACAAGGAAGGCACATGGAGACCCTCTCCATCTCATAACAATGACGATATTGTTATTGCTAATGACGATGGTATTAGAAATAGTGATAATAATAATAACTTGATTCACAAGGAAGGCACATGGAGACCCTCCCCATCTCATAACAATGACGATATTGTTATTGCTAATGACGATGGTATTGAGAGTAGTGATAATAATAATAACAATGATAATGATGATGATAATGATAACAAAATAATGATAATAATCATAATGATAATAACAATAACGAGGGTGTTGGATAGGGAGAGAGAGGGTAGGGGATAGGGAGAGAGGGAGAGGGACATGGAGAGGGTGGGGATAGGGAGCGTGTCAGGGAGGTGCGACCGGAGAGAGATAAAGAGAAATGGAAAAGAGATGTTGGACGGAAAAGATGGAAGGAAAGAAATGTGAGGAATGAACTAAGGAAAAAGAAGAAAAGCAAAGGCATGTCTACATATATCTACATTGTATCTATGCGGTTATGTATCTTTATCTATATGTATGTTTACGTACACACAAACACGCACACACACACACACACATATATATGTGTGTATGTGCATGTATATATGTATATATTTATATATATTTATATATGTGTATATGTATATATATATATATATATATATATATATATATATAATATACATATATATGTATATATATACACATATACATGTGTGCGTGTATGTCTGTATATATATATATATATATATATATATATATATATATATATATATATATATATATATATATATATATATATATATATATATATATATATATATATATATATACATATTTATTAATTTTATAATTTTATTGATTTATATACGCAATCATACAAACACATATACACAATCACATACATACAAATACTCTCTAAAGAAGACAATATTTCTCCAAGTAAAGTCCACCTAATAGTTATTTTTTTTTTTAGGCCATATAAATCAAATCCTCAAAATATATATCTCGTATTTCAAGTTTTTCCTCTTTTTTTTTTTTTTTTTTTTTTTTTTTTTTTGTATGCGGGTCAAATTCGTCGCCCGGGTGACTTTACCCTTCACCTTATCAGTGGATTCGCGATAAGAAAGTGTTAGGCTTATAACATGCGGTCAGGGGAGAAGCGTGTTGGTGGACGGGGGGGTGGCGGGGGGGGGGGGGGTGTAGCTGAGTAGCAACATGCCAGAGGAAAAATGGATTACTCTAGTCATTTTGAATTTAATACATTATGGATTATCATGCTGTATTGACTGGCAGCTATAAGATTGTAGATTTGCATTTTTTTTTTTCTAATTCACCATATAAGAACTGAAAAGGATAGGCAGTTTTTTTTTTCGTCTTTTCACTCTTTTATCTTCAGAAGAAAGCATAAGTAGAATAAACAATAAAAAATATAATATGCAGTAACATAAAAAATAAATACAAATAACTTGTACGTTGATAAATAAAGTCTTCTCATACTAATCAGTAGCATTCTGAGATAGCGTGAGCGAGAAAGAGAGAAGGGAGGGGTGGTGGGGTAGATAGAGAATGACAGAGAGAGAGAGAGAGAGAGAGAGAGAGAGAGAGAGAGAGAGAGAGAGAGAGAGAGAGAAAGAAAGAAAGAAAGAAAGAGAGACAGAGATGAAGATAAAGAGAGAGAAGAGAGAGAACGTACACACACACATATATGTACACACACAGCCTGTATATGTACATCTGCCACCGTCAACATTCTCTCCCTCCCCTTATCTCTGGCATTTTCCTTGATCTACTCATGTTCCACTTTATCCCGCTGTCAATCCTCATCCAGCACATCTTTCCTCATTTCCCGCCGTGGCTTCCTGCAGCATCTCATTTCTATTTCCCGGGAATACTCATACTGCCAGACATTTTCTTTCCAGCTTTCTCTCTCTCTCTTTCTATCACTCTGCCAGACATTTCCTTTCCAGCTCTCTCTCTCTTTCTCTCACTGCCAGGCAGCTTTCTCTCTCTCTCTTTCTCTCATCTGCCAGGCTCTCTCTCTCTTTCTCTCACTCTGCCAGACATTTTCTTTCCAGCTTTCTCTCTCTCTCTTTCTCTCATACTGCCAGACATTTTCTTTCCAGCTTTCTCTCTCTCTCTTTCTCTCATACTGCCAGACATTTTCTTTCCAGTCTCTCTCTCTCTCTCTCTCTCGCTTTCCCTCATTCTCTCTCTCTCCGCTCTTTCTGGCTTCAAATCCCGAGTCAGTTTGGATTTTTTTTTTCTTTTTTTACGCCAGTTTCCAGTGCCTCGGTTTAGGAAATGTTTTCTCCTCTGTGTGGTTTTCCTTCGCTGGTGTTTAACGAACCCTGGAGAGTGGCATTCAGTGCTAGCTTTCCTCCGCTTCACTAAATTGGCATCTTCCACTTTTATGCCTCTGGAAGGGAATGTTTTGGAGGCATTTCATCTTAGAGAATATAGTGTGTAAATGTGGCCTTACTGAAGTAGCCATACAAATGTACGTTCATATATGCATGTAGATATGTGTTTGTGTATGTCGGTATCTATCCTACCCCTCTACACACACACACACACACACACACACACACACACACACACACACGCACACGCACACACACATGTATATATAGGCAAAAGATACACATACATACATACCCACACATATACTCATGCATATATAAACACACATATCCATATATGTATGTTTATATAGACCACAGACACACATTTGTAGCGAACGGTCGGTAGATACGAACAGGCCTTGGGTATGTGTAAGAGAGAAGCAATTTTACGTTGAATTTAGCTGATATTGACTCATCCTACAGCAGCTCTTGTACACTATTTCGTGAACTTCGAGTCAGAGAAATTAAGCTGTTATTGAACACACCTACATACTATTTCTGGACACAGAGGAGGCCTAGCGCACATGTCCGCACACACACACTCTCAAATACACATGTGCATACACGTCCACACACACACACACACACACACACACACGCGTATTGACAAATATAGGCACTTTTCCATATATGTTATGAGGCATGATTCTTAAGAATGTGTTAATGGGTGCAGTATATGTTTATTTGTATAGGTATACTGAGGTTTCATACTGCAATTACTGTGTTCCTATTGTGCAGTACATTGGATGGTACTATACCTAGCCGATCTCCATTTTCTTTAATAAAAAGTGAACTAGTAATAGATTAGATTCCCTTTTTATTTAAATATATACAAAATTACCTTTTTCATACTTTCTTGCAAAAACGTTCTTGAAGTATCAAAATATTAGAACACATTCACATTCATTATGTATACACACACACACACACGCATATATACATATACGTATGTATGTATCTGTGTGCACAGTTGCCATATATTTGTATAAAAGATAGCATATAAAAATATTAGTATAAATTATTGTGACTATATACAGTGAAAGATTATTTATCAACTGGTAACAATATATACATTTTCAATATATATAGAAACAAATACACAACACAGCTGTACATGTTTTGAAAGTCGACCTCGCTTCCTCATCTGGAAAACGTTCTCTTCAGCTTTCTCTTGAGCGAGCACTTCTTCGCAGCGGACAGGACCAGAGTGCTACTCGACGAGGAGGTACTCACGCTCCCGAAGGTGTGCCTCCTGTCGGGCGCGTCGCACTCGAAGGTGACGCTGGCCCCAGGCGACCGGAGCGAGGAGGCGAGGCGCGACACGGGGATCTCCAGCGCGAGGCTGGCTTGGGACGAGAGCGAGCTGGACGGCGACTCCCTCGGCCACTGCTGGTACTCCGGGTCGTTTTGGGCGCGGCTCTCCTCCTCGCACTCCGAGGGCGTGCGCGTGAACCTCTTCTCGGGCACCTGGAGACCGGAGGGCTTGCTTATCGTGTAGACTTGGTTGCTTGGGCGCAGAGGAGGGGCCTTGGCCGTCGTTAACGGCTCCACCTTCCGGCACAGAATGAAACAGAGGAACTGGTAGTACGCGCAGCGGTACTTCTCGAAACAAACGACGTAGATGAAATTGTTGATGCAGTACTGGAGGAAGTAGATGCAGTACAGGACTATGCCGAGTTCTGGGATGGTTTCCCGCAGAGTGGCATCGTCTTTGATGAAGATGATGTTATACAAGCAGATGGGAATGACGCAAATGAGGAACACGATTAAGAGGCGAACAATGACACTGGTGGTTCGGCTGCGGCGGAGCTGAGCCTGCTGGCATGCGTGCGACCTGGGAAGGGGAGAAAGACGTCATTATAGAAGGTGTAAAATTTGCGAAAAGGAAAACTATATGTATGACAAAAACATATAAACAAACTAAACTATGAAACCAAAGAAACTAGATATTGTTGTAGAACCATATAGAGAATAATGTAAAAAAAAGTATATCAAAACAAATGAAAGTCTCATTCAAATACTTAAGAACTGTAACTTGACGGCCTAAATATAGAAATATATTCATACACATACAAAATACATAAATAAAACATACTAAACTAGACAAAACATACCCCATAACCGAAAGAATACGGCTGTTGTTGGCGTAGACTTGGACCAAAATGAAATTATTCCCAATAAAGATGAGAATACAAGGAATAGCAGTCTCCATGGTGAAAAACATGATGCGTGGACTTGCTTCAGCGGAGGTGGCCATAAAATCACATTTGAGGGTAATGTTGTTGTAACCAAAAGTCCCGTACACCTGTTTCGAAGAGAGGTTATTATTATTATCTATTTTATTTTATTTATTTATTTTATTTATTTATTTATTTATTTTTTTTTTTGAGAGCGAATATATTGAGTGAGATAGAGAGAAACAATAGAATAACAGTAAGCGAGAGTGAGAAATGAATAAGAAGACTATTATTGTGAGAGGGAAATGACATTTTTGATTGAAAGAAAAAATAATTGAGAGAGAGAGTGAGAGAGAGAGAGAGAGAGAGAGAGAGAGAGAGAGAGAGAGAGAGAGAGAGAGAGAGAGAGAGAGAGAGAGAGAGAGAGAGAGAGAGAGAGAGAGAGAGAGAGAGAGAGAGAGAGAGAAACATTACAGTGATTTTTTATTATTATTTCTGTAAGCCAAACCCTTTTTTCAAAGTATCAACTGATATATCATCTATTATATTATTATTAAAAAAATTAATTTTTCATTTATATATCCTTTTTATTAATTTATTCACACTATTAATCTTTATCATATATATTAATTTACCCACCGTATTTATTCATCATTCTGTTCTCTTTATCCATTTATTCACCCAATTTATTCATATTTATTCTCCTATTTATTCACCTAATAATCTTATCCATCTATCTATCGTATCTCTTAATTATTCCTTTATTCCTTCACACCCTACGTGAGACACAACGTGAAACTTACCCCGAGATATGTAGGCATTTGCAGCGCTATGCCAAACAGCCAAATGGATAGGCAGTAGAAAAAGGTTTTCCAGCAAGTAAACCACTTGTTAGGTCGTCTGCTGTTGTGGCGAAACTTGTGGATACAAATACACCTACGAGAGTATAAAGAGAAGGGAGAATTACACGAAATGAAGGTACGAATTGGAGAGGGAGGGAGGGAGAGGGTGGGAAGGAGGAAGGGAAGGAGAAAGGGTGGAAGGAAGGGAGAGAGGGGGAGAGGGTGGAAGGAAGGGAGAAAGGGGGAAGGTAGGATGGAGGAAGTGAGGGAGAGAGGGAGGAAAGAAAGGAGGGTGGAAGTGAGGGAGAGAGGGAGGAAGGAAGAGAGGGAGGGGAAATATGGGATGGAGGAAATGAGAGAGAGAGGGAGGAAAGAAGGGAGGGTGGGAAGGAGGAAGTGAGGGAGAGAGGGAGGATAAGGAAAAGGAAGAAAGAGAGAGCGAGGGAGAGAGGAGGAAAAGAGAAATTGATAGAGAAGGAGAGTGCAAAAGAGAGGGAGGAAGAGAGAGAGAATCGTTTACCTCCTTCATTCAGTTACATTACATATTTATCTATTTATCCATCCATATATTTATTTATATCATTCTTTTCGTTGTTATACAATCTTAATCTCACCTCTCTAAGGCCATAAGACCCAAAGTCGTCCACTCGGAGATGGCATTGGTGTACCTGAGAAATGCCGAGAAACTGCAGGCATCCTTGTAATTCTCCCAAGGTACTTTCGGGTTCCCTGAGACGTTTCCCTACGTTTTGGGAAGAGGAAGAAATACGAGAGGTTTAGGACACATCACTTTGGAAAGGATGAGGGATGCATAAGAGAAGAAAAGAATATGTAGAAAAGGTATGGATGATAATGAATATCTTCACAATACAAGAGATGTTTTTAAAAACTACATCTCGTATAAGATATTCATTCTCATTCATAGCTTTTCTACATTTGTTAACGTGAATACGGTTCAAGAGAAAATAAATATATGCATTTTTAATTTTGTTTTGTGGATTATTGTGGTACTTGAAATTGGTAAGTAATATGGGTTTTGTTGTGTGTACGTCGCTTTCGAATCATTAATTACTACATATTTCTAAAAATAAAACTTTTCCTAGATCGTATTATTTATGAAGGTGCATCAAGTAATATAATCTAATATTCATTTTAACCGTATCATAATAACAAATTTAATTATGCAAATCCCTGTACCTGAATCTACACAATTGAAAATAAATAAGCCACGAAACAACAACAACAACAACAATAATAACAATAATAATATAATAATAATAATAATGATAATAATAATAATAAATAATAATAATAATATAATAATATAATGATAAATAATGATAATAAATAATAATAATAAATAATTATAAATAATGATAATGATAATGATAATAATAATACCTCACCCTTACCTCATATATTGTGTAATAAGTGATGAACATGAAGGGCAGGTTAACGGCTGAGTAGAGAAAATCAGCGAGTGCCAGGTTGATGATGAGCACAGTGTCAGGTGTCATGTACTTGATACACCTGTGGAATAGACAATGATTATAAATGATAATACTCATGTTGGATAATGTAACTTGTTATGTGTGTGTTGAAATGACAAATATCTGTCTATCTATCTGTCTATGTACTATGTAGGTATGTACTTGGCTATATACCTAGACTGATCGGTATACATTTATTTCTGTGTATAAGCCTGGCCCTGTAAACTCTCTCTCTCTCTCTCTCTCTCTCTCTCTCTCTCTCTCTCTCTCTCTCTCTCTCTCTCTCTCTCTCTCTCTCTCTCTCTCTCTCACGCACGCTCACACACGAACACATACACACACATACACACACACGCACACACACGAACACATACACAGACACACGCACTGTAGTATATCTATATACTCATCTCGTATATTCACGTAATTTTAACAAACCGCACATTTATAGATTATACTTAGAAATCTGCGGATTTTGAACTACGTTTCACTATGAGGAATAGTAGATAAACACCTAGATTTAAGGAATCGTACACAAGATATGACAATTATAATGCGTAAGAAAATCTCAATTTTTTTTTCTATTTTTTATCCATAATTATTCGTTCTTACACTTTTTGTTAAACGATTATTGTCTAAAACACACTAATACACTTGAACGGGCACACGTGTATCTGTATATATAAATCGATAGATAAATATTACATCAGATATGCTCAAAGATATAAAACGTGTGTGTGCGTGTGCGTATGTATGTATGTTGTGTGTGTGGTGTGTGTGTGTGTGTGTGTGTGTGTGTGTGTGTGTGTGTGTGTGTGTGTGTGTGTGTGTGTGAGAGAGAGAGAGAGAGAGAGAGAGAGAGAGAGAGAGAGAGAGAGAGAGAGAGAGAGAGAGAGAGAGAGAGAGAGAGAGAGAGAGAGAGAGAGAAAATTTTGAGCTTTCTCAGAGAATGCTTAAGAATTATATGTGAAAAACGTTCCTAAAATCTTTTTCCGTATTTCACTTCTTCCGCTTCGTCTTTCCTCCCGTTTTCTATAGTATCAAAGCCCCCCCCATTTGTAGGGCAGACTCACCTAAGTCGGACGGGCATGCAGAACTGGTGTGCGAGGGTGACAAGCGTGAGGAGGTTGCCGAGGGACCCAATAACAATCACTGTTGAAGACACGACCATCACCAGCACGAGCGACCACGTCTGCACCTCGTCTGGAGACTCAGCGGTCGGGTCACTTGCGTTCACGAGTTGTGCCACTGCTTGTGTGGTGAGGTGTTCCATGGTGTTTGTTTAGGTGCGTGTTTTTTTCACGGCGTGTGCGGATTGACGGCGAGTACGCAGTCAAATCCCTTAAAACCTTCCTGTTTTCCTTCACTCTCGCTCTCGCTTCTTCTCTCCGTTTTCTACTTGTGTAAATGCGTCGCCACCCGTTTTCTCTTCCCTCTCTCCGTTGTCTTTATTTCTTCTTTCTCTTCGGTCAGACCCAAAGGAGCTTACTTGCCGCGATCAGACTGAAGTGGAAGCGGCCTCCGAACTGACTCCCGGCAAAGTGCTCCGTCTCGCGCGCCATGTGAGTCGATTCGCACTTATCTTATCGTCTTATCGGCACCTTGGAGTTAAGCAGTGGCGGCAGCTGTGAAAGAGAGGGTCATGCTGTCAGTAAATCAGATTAAATAAAAAGCTTTACACATGCACTTAGAAGAAGAAAGGTAAGTAATAAGTAATAGGATTATAATCAATAGCCGTTTATGGAATGCAAATTATGCTTAGATTATTTATTTTAAAAATAAGAGACTGGTTAAAAAAAAAAAAAAAAAAAAAAAAACTATATCAGGAGGAATAATTTTATCAAGCATATTATATGAAACGTATTGATGTCCCTAATATTATCACAAATTTTTTATGAATATTTTTGATAAAAAGATAAATTACAGACAAAAAAAAAAAAAAAAAAACGATAAGAACATGAGGAATTTGATTTTTCCTTCATTATCATCATAGCGGTGTCGAGTTATCAAAATAGAAGCTAAAAAGGAAAGGAAATTCGAATCAGGTGATATGAAGAACAACAACAACAAAACAAAAAAGATGAAATTAAAGATAAATGATAAAAGACTTCTTTTTCGTCTTGTTTCCGTGTTTCCTCTCCTTTCGTCTCTCATTCTTATTTTTTTCTTTACCCTCTATGCCTGTGCCTTTTTCTTCTCCCCACCCTCTCTCTTCTCTCTCTCTCTCTCTCTCTTTCTCCCCCATCTCTCTCTCTCTCTCTCTCTCTCTCTCTCTCTCTCTCTCTCTCTCTCTCTCCATTTCTCTCTCAGAAGGGGTCAAGTCTCCTACCTTAGGCATATAAACATCCTGTTTATACTTAACATAATGCTGTTTTTTCAGTAACCATCGTTATTTTTGGCTGGTGTTTTGTATTATATGCCGGCCATGTCTTAAATGGCTCTTTGTTTACTCTTTCCTTCCTCTATCTGGCTCTGTCTGTCTGTTTATTTGTCTGTCTCTGTCTCTCTTCCTCTAACTCCCTCCCTTCCCCCTCCCCGCGTCTCTCTCTCTCTCTCTCTCTCTCTTTCTCTCTCCCCTCCCTCTTTCCCTCTGTCTCACACCCACCCACACACATCTGCCCTTCTCCCTCCTTTCTGTGTATATGCGCGTGTGTGTGTGTGTGTGTGTGTGTGTGTGTGTGTGTGTGTGTGTGTGTGTGTGTGTGTGTGTGTGTGTGTGTGTGTGTGTGTGTGTGTGTGTGTGTGTGTGTGTGTGTGTGTGTTGTGTGTGTGTGTGTGTGTGTGTGTGTATGTGCGCTGTGTGTGTGTGTGTCAGATCCCACTCAGCGAGGACGTATCACAAAAGTCTTGACAGATTATAATAGTTATTCCTCAAACGTATTTCGTCTTGGTTTCCGGTTGGGTTGGGAGACTCCCCGTGGCTCGCTATCTTATCTGAAGTACATCTTGCCAACAAAGAAACACTCTGTAATGGTTTATACAGAGAGAGTGAAAGAAATACAATCGATTTATTTAAAAAAAAAAAAAAAAAAAATCGTGATTTGATTGATGTTATCGTCGTTATTGCTGCTGTTGTTGTTCTCATAATCGTTGTTACTATTGCTGTTATTATCATTATTGTTATTGTTATTTGTTAATTCATGCATTATTGTTATTATAATTTTTATTAACATTATTATTATTATAACTATCATTATCATCATCAATAATAATACTGCTACTACTATCATTATCACCATTATCATTATTATCATCGCAACTGTCTTTTTATACTTATTTTAAATAATTATCCATTTCTATATATATATATATATATATATATATATTTTTTTTTTTTTTTTTTTTCTTTTCTTCGCAAAGTTGTCTTGTTCTTTTTCATATTTCTGATATTCAAAATGAAACTGAAAAGTAGCCAGTATAGAATATATATTTTTTCTTATTCGTTCATATGAAGTTTTCTTTTTGATGTCATTATGGATGGGTAGTTAGTCGTAGTAATAATTTTTATATTATAACAGTTGTGAAATCAATCCAGTGATGTTCATAAATTTTGCTGTGTTCACTATTTTAACGACTTTTCAAATAATTCGTAAGTGGTTCAGTGTTATCCTTTTGATAGATTTGGCAACATACGCACACATTCACTCACACACACATACACGCGCACACACACAGGCACGCACACACACACACAGGCACGCACACACACACACACACACACACACACACACACACACACACACACACACACACATACACACACACACACACAAATACAAACCAACGCACACACACACACGCACACACACAAATATAAACCAACGCACACACGCACACACATACACATCCACACATACACACACACACATACACAGGCACACACGCATATGTTTATATACTAGTAATGTGTATTTTTTTTTCCTTTCAGAGTTCAGAGTTCAATGTCAAGTTATTATTTTGCATCAATATCACCAAGAATATTATAGACATTTGACCTTTGGCATCTCTAATAAAAAAAAAGTTTATTAACACTTCTTTATTAGATCATTTTTTTCTAATTTTCACAAAAAAACAAGAGTAAGAAGAAGAAATAAAAAGAAAAGAAGAAGAAAGAAAGAAAGAGAAGAAAAAGAAAAAAAGAAAAAAAATACAAAATCAAAATCAAAAGAAAATGGGAAAAAAAAAAATGAAATAAAAAGGAAAAAAAAAAAAAAAAAAGAAGAATGAGAGGAAGAAAATCTGATATACAAGAACTTTAATCAAAACAACACTGAAAGTAGTCTGAGTAAACATAAACACAGGTGTAGAGAGATTTGCTATACACATTCTTTTTCCTCTTCGTCTTTGTCTACAGCTATACACATTAATCTATTATAAACAACGATACCTTTTCGACAAATTTTATTACCATACTAAGTACTCAGTAAATATAAATAAGTTAATAACTAGATGAAAGTAAAAAGGGAAAACAAGTTGTATAGTATAAGAGAGAGAGAGAGAGAGAGAGAGAGAGAGAGAGAGAGAGAGAGAGAGAGAGAGAGAGAGAGAGAGAGAGAGAGAGAGAGAGAGAGAGAGAGAGAGAGAGAGAGAGAGAGAGAGAGAGAGGAGAGAGAGAGAGATAGACAAACCAACGAGAGAGAGAGAGGTAGAGGTAGAGGTAGAGGTAGAGAGGGAGAGAGAGAGATACCTTTGACAAACCAACTATTCAAAGTTTAAAGTTTACATTTAAAAGCTCTTTTAGATTTATTTAAACAGAAACACAGACCACATAACCAACATGAAATCATCTACACCCACAAATAACAAGGAATTTAATGAGAGATACAAATATAGCCCATAAAGTTACCCTTTTTGCCCAATTCATTATAGAGGGAATCCTGGAATGCCAAAGTATTTCATTATTCCGAAATGCGAAAGGCTATATCAGTAGCAACGCGAGGAGGTGTCATGGCGTCTGATTCTATTTTTTGGAAAAATAAGCACGTGGTGTTTATTTTGATGACGTCACAAAAGTTACGGATGCTCTGTGAATATGGTCGATCATTTGGGTCTCTTCAGTTTTCAAAATATATAGAAAATATTGATTTTAATTGTTGTATTTTCATTGAACAATCATCAAAACAGACGCCATGACACATCCTCGAGTTGCTACTGATCTAGCCTTTCCCATCCCGAAATAGAGGGTTGTTTGTGAAAGGGTAATTAGCGTAAAATATATCGTTAGAATGTTTATCATTTACTCTTTGCTTATCCTGTTCATTATCTAAGGCTTGTATTAGGTATTTTTTACTTCTGATCTTATGAAATAATCTGTTTAGGATTATCTAATCTTTTATTTGTATATAGATTTTGATTAATTTGCTAAGATTTTTGATAATCAAAGTCAATCCAATCTGTTATACCGCACTTGTACACACACAAGCATACACACACATACACGCACACGACCCCCCCCACACACACACAAACAAACAAACGACATCAGATTAGATCAAATTGGACAAAGGGTGAAAATTAGCCAAAATGAAATTAGATAAAACTCAAAGAGCTCTATACGAAAACAAAGAATGAAAAATCACGTCGAGCCAACACTTAAGAACCAAATAAAGGAGTAAAAAATGTAAATCGATAGATGGATAATTAAACAGGATATATATATATATATATATATATATATATATATATATATATATATATATATATATATAGTGAAAGCTTTACAGTCCAAACGACCAGGAAAGCCCAGTCGAGTCCTAAAAAATAATCAAATCAGATTTGAGAGGAAATCTAGAATGTTTTATATTATAAATGTCATAAGATAAAGAGCTTAGTCGTACTTAGACTCCCGTGAGCTCTATAAAGAAGGGAGTTTGATGAGACAGCAACCTTTTACATTATAAATCAGCTTAGATCAAGTGTCTAGTTGTAGATTCTTGTGAGTTCTATAGTAAAGGGAGCTTGGTAGAAAATGATGTATTATATTAAGCATAGATTCTTCACAACTTCAGTACTTCAGTGATCTAAAAAGGGGATGCACTTGTTGAAGAGGAAAAGGTACTTCGAGCTAGAAGAAGTTATTTCCTGTAGTGTTCCTATTGATATTTTCTCTAAACCACTACACACACAAAAAAAAACAACAACGATACACTTAAGAATAAAAACTTCCACATTTTAATGCTAAAAAGGACTTACAGATCACTATTCATAGCATAAACTCTCTCTCTCTCTCTCTCAGAAAAAAAAAGAAAAAAAAATGTATATATATATATATATATATATATATATATATATATATATATATATATATATATATATATAATAATAATAATAATGCTATTGATATTTCTCTAAACCACTAGACTAGACTTGAAAAAATGCTACACTTAAGCATAAAAACTTGATAAAAAAAAGTCCCTGCTACATCACGTCAATAAAATCGCTGGAATGGCAACACTGTTCCCAGGTACACGCGTTATATAAGTAATTTAGGGTTGCAATGTTACCAATCATACTCTCTAACTATTTAGTCCGGTTCTTTTGATCTTTCTAATCTAATCTTCCTTGGCTTCACAGTGTCAATCATTTGATATTTTGGAAGTTGGATTAGGTTAGTTAGTGCCTAGTG